TATATTTTTTTTAAATTAAAAAAAATATTTGCGATGGATTTTTCTGTCGCAAATCCGTAGTAAACGTAGTTTTTTTTTATTTTTTTAAAAATATTAAAAAATATATTTGCGACAGATTTTTCTGTCGCAATTCTGTCGCAAAACTTGGATTTTGTCCGTCGCAACTTTGCGACAGATTAACGACCGGCAAACTTTTGCGACAACAATATACGGACAGAATTGATTCTGTCGCAATCTGTCGCAAATTTGTAATTGCGACAGATATTCTTTTGTATTTGCGACAGATTTTTCTGTCGCAAATTTTAATGTTTCTTGTAGTGAAATGAGATGCAAATAGAGGGTCTGTTATTTTGACTCTATATGTTACTTGTCCCGAATCATATTCCAAAAATATGCATTCTCAAATGAGATGCAAATAAATGGTTTGTTCTGTTGGAAAAAATGTCTAAATAGACTCTGGAATAGGAACGCTATCTGTTACATGACCCGATACAAAATGAAAGAAATCTGCATTCTCAAAAGGAGATGCAAAGTTAGGTCTATTATGTTGGGAATAATGACTAAAAAGGCTCCGGAATGGGAACGCTATGTGTTACATGTCCCGAAACAAAATGAAAAAAATTTGCATTCTCAAATGAGATGCAAATAGAGGGTCTATTCTGTTGGGAATAATGGCTAATCAGCCATGGGATGGGAACATTATCTCTTACATGACCCGAAACAAAATGAAAAAAGTTTGCATTCTCAAATGAGATGCAAACAGAGAGTTTGTTCTGTTGGGAATAACGTCAAAACATAATCGAATGGGAACACTATATATTACTTATCCTGAAACATAATGCAAAAATCTGCACTTTCAAATGAGATGAAAATATAGGGTCTGTTCTGTGGGGAATAATAGCTAAACATACCCTGGAATGGGAAAGCTATCTATTACACTTCCTGAAACATAATATAAAAATTTGCATCTCAAATAAGTTGGAAACATATGGTTTGTTCTGTCTGGAATAATGGGCAAACAGACCTAGAATTGGAACGTTGTCTGTTATGTTCTGAAACATAATGCAAAATCTGCATTCTGAAATAAGATACAGATATAGAGTCTGTTCTATTGGGATAATGGTTAAACAGATCCTGGAATGAGAATGCTATCTGTTACGTCTCGAAATGTAAAAATCTGTATTCTCAAATGAAATGAAAATATAGGATTTGATCTGTTCGGAATAATGGCTTAACAGTCCATGGAAAGACCTGCCCCAAATCATAATGCAAAGGTCTGTTGTATTCTCGGATATTATACAAATATAGAGGGTCTGTTAGGAATTGCAGCAATACAAGACCCTCTAGAGTTGAATGAACTCATTAAGTCTGAACTGGATAAAATCTTAATGATTGGTTTCTGCAATTTCTATGCTTTTGTATCAGTGTCACAATTGCTTTGCGCCTTTGTCAGGTTTGGTAATATATCTTTTAGCTCTGTAATTCCTTCTTTGTATAATCAGTGTCTCAGTTTTAAGCTTTCGACTTACAAAGGTAAGTTCTTGGATCAAACCGTAGAATTGGTTTCAGAATTGTGTAATAGGTTTACTTGCATACATCTGTCTTTTATACTTTGTTCCGTATATGATCAATGTCTCAGTACTAAGCTTTCTGTTTCATGTCAAGGAGCTCTTGGTTTAGTTGCATATGTCTGTCGTTTAATCTTCGGCTGACAAAGGTAAGTTCTTGGACTATACCATAGCATTGATTTCAGAGTTGTACAATAGCTTATGCTTTTGTTTAAAAACGTTTTTATGGTGTGATGTAAGGTTGAATTACAATAATGACAACTTTCTATGAAGAGAGAGATAAACATGATAGTGGAGTGCTACTTTGTTGGTGTTATAGTTCCTTTCTTATGGAAGAATGTATGTATGTTGATATCTTATTTTTTATTATCTTGAGGTTTACCCTAAATAAACACAATTGTATAACATTCTAATGTTCTGCAGATTACATTTGTTGACGTAGGATTATTACTATATGACATAGGTTTGTAAAACTACTTTGTTTCCTTATAACGTGTCTTACATTCTCAACTGCTTCGAACAGGGTTTCTGGAAGGAAGATGTACCATTAACTGGTTCTTCTCACATGTTTCTCTTTTCCTTAGCTTGGTATGCTGTTGACTTTGTTTAAATTCATGAGAAGAATGATGCAGAAGAATATAAGAGTGTTCAATTAGATTCTTAGCAAGGATCCAAACAAAGTCTTTACCCAATCTCGATGAGACAAACTTTGGTGTTCATGTACGAGGAGCAGATATGCAAAATACTCGAAAGGAAAATAACAAGATTGTGAGTATTTGGATTCATTTGTTTACGTTATGTTTTCTCTTATGAAAGAAGGAACATGTGTTGATGTCTTATCTTTATTATTTGACGGTTTATGCTGGTAAAACACATATACATATTCTATAGATTATATCGGTTGATGTAGGATTACTATGTAAAGCTACTTTGTTTCCTTGTGCCGCATCTTACATTCTCAACTTTTTCAAACAGGATTTTCTGGAAGCAAAATGTACACACAAGCCTTGATCATTGAGTAGCTCTTCTTAGGTGTTTCCCTTTTCTTTACTGCTCTGTACGTTGTTGGCTTTCTTCAATTCATGCGAATGATGTAGTAAAATCTAAGAGTTTTCTTTGAGATTCTTAGCAAGGATGTAAACAAGTCTTTATCTAATCTGGATGAGGCGAGCTTCGGAGGCTGTATTTGTTGCAAGGAGTGGTTATGCAAAATGCTCCAAAGGGGAATAAAAGATTGTGAGTATTTGTGTGTTATATTTCCTTTCTTATGGAAGAAGGAATGCATGTTGATATCTTTTCTTTATTATCCGGTGGTCTACATATTCTGCAGATTACATTTGTTGACGTAGGGTTACTATGCTACCTGGTTACGCTATACAGATTATGAGACAACAATAAAGAAATGAATGATCATTGATTTGGGAGACAAGTATGTAATGCTTTGTTTTGCTGTGTAAAGGTTTTTTTTTTTTCCTTTTGTCATGTCTTAGTGCTCTGTTCGTTGCTGACTTTGTTAAATTAATGATAATGCTGCTGGAGAATTTAAGAGTATTCAATGAGATTCTTAGCAAGGATTCAAACATGCCTTTATCAAATCTTTACGATTGTGGGTGTCTATATCCTTTTGTTGATGTTGTATAAGAGTGTTCAATGAGAATGTTGCAGGAGAATCTAAAAGTGTTCTGTGAGATTCTAAGGATCTAAACAAACAAGTCTTTTGTCTTATCTGGATGAGGCGTACTTTGGTGGTTGTGTTTTGGTAAGTAAAAATGCTCAAAAGGGAAGTAAAAAGATTGCGTGTATGTATTCATTTGTTGAGGTTATATTTCCTTTCTCATGGAAGAGGGGATATTTGTTGTGTCTTATCCGTTGGTTTGTACTTGGAAAACACACCTACGGTGTCCTGCCGATTACATTTGTTGTCCTAGGATTACTAAATGTCAAGGTTACCATTCCATTTTATGACAACGAGAAGGAAACAAATGACTATTGATTCGGAAGACAGGTATGTAACTGTTTGTTTTACTGTGTAAAACTACTTTGTTTCTTTTTGTCGTGTCGTGCATTTTCAACTGTTTTGAACAGAGGTTTCTTGGAGGAAAATGAACACACGTACTCAGCTCTTCTCCGGTGTTTCTCTTTTCCGTAGTGCGTTATACGTTCTTGGCTTTGTTAAATTCATGAGAATGTTGCAGGAGAATCTAAAAGTGTTATGTGAGATTCTTAGAAAGGATCCAAACAAACAAGTCTTTATCCAATCTAGACGAGGATGTGTTTTTGGTACATAGAGCGGATATGCAAAATGCTAGAATTTTGGTTCATTTTGATGATGATTATGTTTTTGTTGATGCTACATACTATAAGGCGTGTTTGCTGAATTTGTTTAGGTCAGTCGGCTTGTGGATGAGCTACTTGCACCAGACAAATCTCTGATGGAACCTTTGAACACTGAGGTATGCTGCTTCTTCCCAATTGATATAAGAAAACCTCTCTCATGTCCTTTATTGAATTATATCGCATATTCTTTTTTTCTTCTTTTTTGATAACCAAATTTTGCACCCCTCCTCCCCACTAGTGCAATCGAACCCATGATTTTGAAGTGACTTTGTCACTTCTCAACCATGGAGCACCAACTAGTGGGTATAGTGCATATTCTTATATAAGACATATTTGAGTTTTTTGGTGAATTCTTGTTGGAGCGAGATCGGTGCTCAAAAGCCGATCAAGGATTCCGCCTCCTAAAGCTCGGAAAAGGGTTACGTTACGATTGATACTCAACATGTTTACGCACTATACTAACTACTAATGAGTATCAAACGTGCTACTTTTGAACATGTTACAATTTACGATAGGTTTGTGTTTTCTCAGTCATTTCATGTAAGGGTGAGTGAGATTCCCATATTTCCATTTATGAATCTCTCTCTCCGTCGGTCTTCCACGATTCAGGGTTCGATCTTTCTCTCTCTCTCTCGACATTTATTGTTCTATGTCATTTGGTTGACTGTGTTGCTGCTGCTTTGGGTCTATGCTGCTTTCTCCTCCCTTGGGTGGCGTTAGCTCCATCCACGTCTGTGCTCTTTTATTCCTAGGGACAAATATTTAGTCTAAAAGTGTTTGTTCTTTGGGGATTTGAAATTGACAAGCCTTGGTCTCTGATTTGTCCCGTCTCTCTTTTGAGTTTGGTTCTCATATCTTGAATGCTCCTATTTAATATGCTATTTGGTTGGTGTCCTGTTTTCCGTAGCTGCTGAATCTCTTTTGGGATATGGTGTGCGTTATCTAATCATCAAATGAAAGGTATGATGATCATATGGTCATTCAGAATCTTGGTTAATTTCGAGAGCGAGACGATTGCCACGTCATTGTCCTTCGGCGATATGAAAAGAGGAAATAACTGCAATACCCTTTGACTGCTATTTGGACTTCTCATACTACCCTTCAAACAAAAAATTAAACAAAAAACATTATTCACCACGGCAAAAGACAATAAAATCTTCATATATTAATAAAAAGACAAAAATTACTCTATTTCTTTCAATTTAAAAAATTCAAAATTAAAAAAAAAAGTTACGTAACTTTACTTTTATTCTCCTCTCTCTCTCCTAACTTTATTCTTCTTCCACTTTCTCTCTCTTCATAAATTTTTTTCTTATCTCTCTCCTAACTCTCACGGTTTTAGCTCTCTCACTCTCTTTCAAAACTTTTAATCTTTTGCATTTTGTTCTATTTTGTGTTTAAATCTCCAGTTAGATTCAAGATTCGAAAAAGAAATGAAAACCATGTGGAAATTGCAAGGTTAGACAAAAACATGGTAGGTTAACCTTCAATTTCTTTTAGATTTGTTGGATTTTGAAATTTGTTGTTGTTGAGTTGAAGTGTGGTTTTGGAATTTGACCAATAGAAATTTAGGGTTTTGGGGTTTTCAAATTTCATTTAACCACCAAAAATTGAGGAGATAGAAGAAGCAATGACGACATCGCAGAAATGACAAGTTCATGTTAATCTTCGTCATATTTTTTGAGCAAAAGTAGGAACCTTATGGAGATTACGGAGTTAGATGAACACAAGGTAGGTTAAAATTCAATTTATTTGCAAATTTGTTTGATTTTGAGATGTGTTCTTGTTGAGTTGAAGTGTGGGTTGGGGATTTGAACGATAAAGCATTAGGGTTTTGGATTTTTTTAAAATTTGGGGATCTCAAAATAGAATGTTGGTTTGCGAGTTTATGGATCAAATTGAGTGAAATGGTTGAGTTTCAGTCAAATAAGACAGTCATATAGGTCACATCACAGTCATAGTCACAAAGGTCACAGTGTCACAGGATCATATAGGTACGTCTATACCACAATATACAGTAGTCACGGGTCACATGGTCACAAGATCACAAGGTCACATGATCACATGATCACATGGTCACATGGTCACATGGTCACATGGTCACAATGTCACACGGTCACAGTTACAAAGGTCACAAGATCACAGGGTCATATAGGTACGTACGCCTATATCACAATATACAATAGTCACGAGTCACATGGTCACATGGTTACATGATCACATAGTCACATGGTTACATGGTCACAAGGTCACAAGGTCACATGGTCACAAGGTCACACGATTTCGATTGACTATATTGCATATAGAAAGGGGTGAAGAAACACTTCTTTTTTATTTGGAAGGGTATGAGGGGAGTACAGATGGAAGGGTTCAGTTTTGGATACGACATTTGAAAACGAACCTGGTCACATGGTCACATAGTTACACGGTCTCATAGTCATATAGTTTTATAGTCATACAGTCACATGGTCACAGTGTCACACGATGATATTTAGAAAATATTATTGACATATATTATTTTATTTTGTAGCACATGGAAGAGATGATGTATGAACTCCACATCTGCATTATAAAGCATCACGTGACCTACATAGGATGCAACTATTTGACTTGTGATACTATGTTCATAGAGCTGATCAACACATGAGTAGAATCGGAAGACATGACAACAGATATTTCAGAAGATGAAAGTGTAAATTTTTAATTTATTTCACTAAATTTACTTTGTTTATTTTGTTTTGAACCCTAACTATGATATGTTTTTCTTTATTTGGTAGTAGACTAAATTATGAACTCTTATATTTAGTTTTTTGTTTATTAGAAATCTGAATTTATTTATGTTTTATGTAAAATATGGGTCTAAATTATTGTATGAAAAATTTTAAACTTAAATTGATGGAGAAAAAAATATAAGGTTAAAATAAAATTATGTTTTTTTCAATTATGAAATGAGTTAAATTGTCAAAGTAGTCTCCACAAGAAATCTAGGTTGAATTATCAAAGTGGTCCACACAATGGAATAAGAGAAAAATTATGGGTTGAAAATATTGTAGGTGAAAATTTGGGGTTAAAAATTGGGATGAAAAAAATATAGGGTTAAAAGGGAAATTATATAGGGTTGAATATTCAAAATAGGTTCCATATTAAAATTAAAAATAGAAATAATGATTGTGGACCCTAGGAAACATAAAAATTTGGAGAAATTCTGACTAGTTCTTCTTGTGGGTCTCACATCACATTTCGGTCACAATGGGTCACAGTCGGTCACAACCGGTCAAAATAGGTCCTATACTATAAAAAAAAATCTGAACTTCTTAATGTTTTTTACAGGAAAATTATAGGTTTAAAATATTGTAGGTGAAAATTTGGGGTTAAAATTTGTGAAGAAAAAAATTGGGGTTTAAATTTGGAAGGGAGAAAATTTGGAGCTAAAATTTGGATGAGAAAAAATTTGGGGTTAAAATTGAAATTGAAAAATTTTGGGAGGGAAAAAACTTGAGGTTAAAATTTGGGAGGAAAAAAATATAGGGTTAAAGAGGGGTTGAATATTCAAACTGGGCCCCACAAACACAAAAATCTGGAAAAAAATTCTTACTAGTTCTTCGTGTGGACCCCACAACATATTTTGGTCACAATGAGTCACAGTCGGTCACAACCGGTCATAACCTTCGATCCATGCAATTTTTGTCATTTAATCGATCTAAAACGTCACATATCTCTTATAAGTCTATTTTATATTGTTTTGAACATTAAAATATGGTTTTTGCGATTTTTTGGTTTCAAAGTTGTTATTTCAAATGTGTTCCTATATGTTTCATAATGTTTTATGAGTATTTTTGACAAATTTGATATATTTCTTCCACAACCACCTTGAAATATTTTGAAATTCTCTCTCACACAATATATATTTGATATATAGACTCTAATAAACCACCCCGAAGCTTTAAAATTAAATTTTGGCATATATTTATCAACACATTTCGGTCACGGGTCACAGTCGGTCATAGTGGTCACATAGTGCAAAATTGCACTTCGGTCACATGGTCACATGCCGGTCACAACGTTGGCTCATGTGAGTCAATTTATTTAGTGTGTAATACGAATCAGATATATGCAAAATTTCATCTTCAATAATACAACCTTAGTATATGGTTGTACAAACACATTACAACATCATTAACCACAGTTCTTTGACATTATTGTACAAATGTTTTGTAACATATTATAATACAAATACTTCACACAATTATTATACAAATTATGACTCTCTCTTCACTCTAAATTAGTCATTCTCTCCAATTTGTATGAAAAAAATCGGATTTCGACACTAGCTTACATATTTCCAATCATACGGTCACACACTGGTCACAACAATGATCATATGAGTTAACTTACTATGTAATGTGTAATAAGAGAGACATATATGTTAAAGTATCAGGCCATTCCACAGTTTTGGAAAGATAATTATCAAGCAGGTCTAACACCAAAAATCTTTTTGCCTTTTTCAATGATCACAAGATCATAATAGACAATGGTTACATGGTCACATAGTCACATGGTCACATGGTCACATGGTTCACAAGGTCACAAGATCACGTGCTCACATGGTTCAAAATAATCAGAATTGTCATAATATACTACGACACATATATATGACTATAACATATTACAAATGATAAAACAACGAAAACATAAAAAATTAGAAGAAAAGAATAACAAGATCCACAAATATGCATGAAAAAACCGATATTTTGACAGTAGCTTGTATATTTCTAATTGTCTCATTGATTTATCCTTGATTTCGTCTAATTTCATCGGATTTTTAAGACAAAATAGAAAAAAAAAAGAAGAGAGAGAAAGCTTGGTGGAGATTAATGGTGGGAGGAAAGAGAAATCGGAAGAAAAAAAGAGGAAAGAGAAATCGAAAAAGGAGGAGAGAGAAATTAGGGTAGGAAAGATTTTTTTAATTAAAAATTAAATATAAAATAATATTACAAGGTTATTTTGGTAATCTAACAAAAAAAGAGGGTAGATTGGATGTTGGAAATTTTTTTTTCAAGAAAAGGGTAGTACTAGAAGTCCTTGTAGCACATTGAAGTTAGAATGGAAGTTGACCCATATGAAAATCCATTATCGTTGTTATATTTTGCATGTTACAGCTTTTTGTCCCACGTTTCTTTGTGTTCTTTTGATTTTGCCTATGTTCTCTAGATTTGTAAATCAGAGACAAGAAATCAAAATAGATTTATGTAAAAAATAGTGTTAATCTAATCATATATAATATAAATGGGTAGAAAGTAGTTATAATAATAATCTAGAATTTGTTTAAAAGATTTTAAAATATGTTTTTAATATATTTTGATATTCATGTAGACGTGTTTTCTTAGTGGACCAATCAAATGCTTTTTACAACATTATTTTGAAAGTTGTATTCTATTATTTATTTTATTTATTATTAGTGGACTAATCAATGCTTTTTAATTATAAGATTTTAAATATAACCAAAACAAATGAATGGCATATTAATATGTCATTAACTTTTAATTTCGTGGATAATAATTATTACAAGATATAGGATTTTGGGTTAGCTTTTACAACACAACATTAATATGCATATAAAATCATTTTTTAAGAGATACATTGAGTGTTTTTACGGAAAATATATTGCAATTTTCTTATTAAACGAATTTCTCATTTTTTATGATATTAGACCGAACAAACCAATTATTATTTAATCTTTTTTATATCTAAAAAATGTATGATGAAAATTTCATTTTCTCCTTATGAATGGAATAATAAATTAATATACATCAAACGAACAAATATATTAAGATTTTTATTATCTCTCTAAAAAATTGAAGAAAAAGTGAAAATCGGAAGAATAAGAAACAAAAGAAAAATGCAGAAGAGAAGAAGAGATAGGATCGTGAGAATATCTTCTTATCTTCATTCCAGTAAAACGATGTGTTTATATACACCCATCTCAAATATCAATAACAAACTCATAATTATTTCTAATAGAAAATATTCTAATACTTTCTTTTCCTTTATCATTTCATTTAATATTTTTTATAAAAAAAACTCATATTTCAACTTATTTTATATGAATAAGTCAATTTTATTTCGTTGGATTTATACCATGATTTTTATTTTCTGTTTATTTTTGTTAAAAAAAAGAATATAATATAGGTGATAAATCCACCATCAAAGAGATTTTATCGGATAAATAACAATCAATCATACATACATATATAATATATTACATCAACAATATATACTTTTTCAAAAATTACAAATTAGATATTTTTTTCTATAATCATATTTTGAGACAATATTATATATATATTCTACAAAAAAATATAAAATAACTAATAATAAATTTCATATTTATTTTATGTAAAATAGTAAAATACTACTTTTAAAAAAGTTGATGATGTAGTATGTAATAATGCCAACTAAAATTTAGGATATGTTTATACCATAATTTGCTAACTATGACAAACAAAAAACAAGACATACTATATTTGTCAAATTAAAAAAAAAACAAAACAACAGATAATTAGATTTTAAAATTTGTATATTTTTGTATTGAAAATATTATTGAATTTTTTGATGTAGTAAAAAAATCATTATTATATTAAGTTTCTTAAAAAGTATTCTTATGTTAAACACATCATCATAAAAAAATTATATGGATGTAAAACTCAACATCGTAAAATATTTTCATGGTAAGCATATAAACTTAACCATTATCAAAACAAATCATATTTACAATATTTAACAATATCATTTTATCATTAACTTTTAACTAAATATTTTGTAAAAATCCAAAGAAAAAATGATCAGAATTTAAGATGTTCATAATAAACCATTCACATTGAATCTAAACCCTAAACCCTAAACCCTCTTCGAGACATCTCATGTAAGAGTTTCATACCTTCATCCACCTTATTACACTTACGGTAACCATATATCAGACAATTAAAAGTTACCACATTAGAAAAGCATCTATGTGTTGTATGAGAGTGTTGCGTATGAGAGTGTTGCCTATAAACTCTTTTTAGAGATGTAGAATCAGGGTGTGAATCCTAATATTGTAACTTATACGGTAATGCTTGGTGGTATTTGTAAGAATCGAAAACTGAACGAGGCACTTGAAATGTATTTTAAGTTGGAAACGAGTGGGATTGACCACGATATCTTTGTCGGTGATGTTATAATGAATGGATTGTGCAAGGTTGAAAAGGTTGGTGAGGCACTCGGATTGTTTAATAAATTTTCGGATAAAGGTGTTGAACCGGATGTAAAGACGTACACTACAATGATTACTGGATTTTGTGTAAAGGGTATACTTAGTGAAGCTGACAAGCTGTTTAAGGACATGAAAGAGGTTGGTTGTGTGCCGGATGATTGTACGCAGGGCCGTCTATTAGCAAGTGCAAAAGGTGCATCGGAACAGGGCCCCATAAATTTGGGGGCCCCATTTTTAAAGCTATTTATTAATATTAATTATATATTATTGTAATAATAAATATAAATTTGAAGAATATCATTTTAATTTAACATTGATTGATCGAAGAAAGAAATGAGGCTACTCTCCCAAAATGCCTATGGAAGGTGGGTGGACATCAAATGGATTCCATTTTAAAAATCATTACTCCAATCAATTTTTTGATATAATTATTATACATTATATTATTGTACAAATAAATATGATATTATATAAATTACTTATAATGTAAAATTTTTATTAATTCAAATTTAATATTAAATTGATTTTATAATTGTTGAAATATATCAATAATAATTAAAAAATTATTTAAAAATTGAAAATGAATTGTATTTATTTTAAAAAACCTAAATTTATGGATTTAAAAAAAACATTATTCTTATCATTAATAAAGAAAAACGTTACAAAATTTGTTGATTATATTTAAATAATTTTTATTACAAAACTTAATGGTTTTTAAAATCATTATTAATTTTATTAATAATTTTTTATTATATTAACTTATTTATTTTTATTAAATATTTTTAATAATATTATTTTTATTATATAAATTTATAGTTTTTATGGATATAATTTTGTATAATGTACAGGGCCTCCAAAAAATTTGAGACGACCCTGATTGTACGTATAATGTATTGATCCCAGGTCATCTCAAAGGTGGCCATGTAGCAACTGCTATCGAGCTTATTCGAGAAATGAGATGAGAAGCTATGGTTTTTCATCAAGTGTTTCAACCATGGAAATGGTTGTCGATATGCTATCGGACGGGAGATTGGAGAAAAGGTTTTTGGATCTTCTTTCTCGGTGAGCTGTGTGACAATGAGATATCAAAATCTGCATCTCAGGACTAATAGTCTTGTGGTTACTGGTTAGTTCTGTTATCATCGATTAACCCCATGTTTATATGATGGGTTTTAGTTTCGATGTTTAATGCATCGTGGAAATTTCTGCAGGTGAATGAGAAGCTGGAAATTAATGTTCTTGCTAAGGTTTCCTAATGTTGAAAGAGGAGAGATTGATCTTGGAAGTGTTCTTCCTAAATGCGACGTCGTCTTCAGATAATCTTCGAAGCTTCTACCCGAGACTGAAGCTTCGCATGTATCCGCAATATTCAGCTCAGGATCTTATTCCATAATTTCATCATTTATATATATATATATATATTCCATGGTATATTTACCAATTTTGACATCTCTATCATGATGCATAGTTTACCCATTTAAACACGGTTATCTATAATATATTGTTTTAGGATTTGTTTAGCTTTTTAAATTATTGTTGCTCGACGTATTCTCCGGAATTCACTTTAAATTCCTTCATTCGTATAATGATCTTCATTCATATTAGCAACTGCTATCGGCCAAGGCACAGTCAAACAAATTTAAGGGTTGACTTTAGAATCTTCGTTTCAATTGCCAATAATGTTTATATTGATTTGAGCTTTATAAGGAGTCGATTCTCAGTAACAAAAAAATATTAATTTTTTTAAAGAGTTTTTATACTTGATTTTTGGGTATTTTTTATAAAATTAGATTTGATTAATTTTAGTTTTATAAAAATTAAATATTTTTAGGATTCATACTGTTGTTATTATTTGGTTGCCTTTCATCAAAATAACTTTGCGTCACTGATATTGGGTATAAAACACTGCTCACCAATTTTACAATTTCCTATTTCCCTTTTCAGACGCATGTAATAACCGAAAAAAAAAAACGAGGAAGAATCTGCTTATCACCATTTTCGCTGTGACCGCCGCTTCCATCGAGGGCTTATAGAAGAAGCCGAATCGCAATCTGCTGTCTGATTTCTCATCCCGTCTTCGGATCGAAGCTGAGATGGCGAGAATGGTCCGGAGAATGGGTGCTTTCACATTGACTTCTACTTCGAGTCTGGTTCAGACTCATCATCGCAAGGGGAGAGGTACTCTGAACACTTTCTCAGATTGTTCCTTTGTTTTAAGTTGGAGATTTGTCTCTTCTGGTGTTGGCGACCACAGAGACAGATTGAGATTTGGGTTTCATGATTGTAGTAATGTCGATGAGGCTGTTGCTTTGTTCGAACAGATGGTTCAGTCTCGTCCCTTACCTTCCATCGTTGATTTTAGTAAATTACTGACTGCAATCGCCAAAATGAAACGGTATGATGTTGTGATTTCTCTCTGCAAGAGAATGGAATTGCTCCGGGTTTCACATGACAGCTACACTTTGAGTATTCTCATCAACTGTTTCTGCCGCTTAGGTCAAGTGGTTTTGGGCCTTTCGGTTTTGGGAAAAATCCTAAAACTGGGTTACGAGCCTCATGTTATCACGTTTACTACCCTGTCAATGGATTTTGTATCCAAGGGAAGCTTTCTGTGGCGTTAAGTTGGGTTGACCAAATGGTAAAAGAAGGATATAAACCTAATGTTGTAACATATACAACTTTGGTCAACGGACTTTGTAAAGAGGGTAGAGTTTCTGAAGCAGTGAGTTTAGTTGATCGGATGTTAAAGATGGGGTGTCGACCCAATGTAGTTACTTATGGCGCTATTCTTAACGGGATTTACAAATCGGGTGATTGTGCTTTGGCTTTGAATCTGCTCATGGAGATGGAGGAGAGGAACATTAAGGTCAATGTCAAAATTTACAGTATGATAATTGATGGTCTATGTAAAGGCGGACACATAGATGTTGCATTGAGCCTTTTCGAAAAGATGGATAGCAAAGGGATTGCTCCAGATGTTGTCACCTACAGTTGTTTGATAAACGGCCTTTGCGTTTTCGACAGATGGAACGATGTTGTCCGACTGTTGAATGATATGGCCAAAAGAAAAATCTTCCCTAATATTGTCACTTTCAGTGCATTGATCGATGCGTTTTTTAAAGAGGGGAAGTTTTTGGAGGCTAAAGAATTGTACGAAGAGATGACTTGAAGAGGTTTAGTTCCGGATACTATTACATATACTTCATTGATCGATGGGTTGTGCATGCAGAATCGCCTTGACGAGGCAAAACAGTTGTTCGATTCTATGTTCAATAAAGGATGCCATCCGAATGCAGTGACTTTTAATTGTCTTATAAATGGTTACTGCAAGTCTAATAAGGTTGACGAGGGTATGAACCTCTTTCATGAGATGTCTCGAAAAGGGTTGGTCGGTGATACATGTACTTACAGCACTCTCATACAAGGATTTTTCCGAGCGGGCAAAGCCAATGTCGCCCATAAACTCTTTTTAGAGATGCAGAGACAAGGTGTGGATCCTGATCTTGTAACTTACACGGTAATGCTTGATGGTCTTTGTAAGAATCGAAAACTGGACGAGGCACTTGGATTGTATTGCGAGTTGGAAACGAGTGGGATTGACCTCGATATCTTTGTCCATAGTGTTATGATGAATGGCTTGTGCAAGGGTGACAAGGTTGATGAGGCACTCAGATTGTTTAATAAACTTTCTGATAAAGGGATTGAACCGAACGTAAACACGTACAATTCAATGATTATTGGATTTTGTGGAAAAGGTATACTCGATGAAGCCGACAAGCTGTTTAAAAACATGAAAGAGGTTGGTTGTATGCCAGATGATTGTACGTATAATGTACTGATCCGAGGTCATCTCAAAAGTCGCCATGTAACACCAGTTATCGAGCTGATTCGAGAAATGCGAAGCCACGGTTTTTCTTCGGATGTTTCAACAATGGAAATGGTTGTTGATATGTTATTGGACAGGAGGTTGGAGAAAAGTTTTTTGGATCTTCTTTCTCGGTGAGCTGTAACGCGGAGCTTGCTTTCGGTCATGGAAGTTGTGCGACAATGAGGTGTGATCTTCTGTTCTGGATTTAGGCTTGTTTAACTGTTTAAATTTTCATCGCTCGACATATTCTCCATAATTCATTTTAATTTGTTAATTAATATTTTCACATAATGGTCGAGATATCAAAATCTGCATCTCAGGACTAATAGTCTTGTGGTTACTGGTTAGTTCTGTTATCATCAATTAACCCCATGTTTATATGATGGGTTTTAGTTTCGACGTTACATGCATCGTGGAAATTGTTGTAGGTAAATGAGAAGATTATGAGATGTTGGAAATGTGCTTGCTAAGGTTTCTTAATGTTGAAAGAGGAGAGATTGATGTAGGAAGTGTTCTTCCTAAGGCATATACTTCCAATCATTATATTCGGACCAATTGATGATGGATTGTCACATATGCTTTTTCAATAGGCTTGGAAAGGTGCAGACCTAAACCCATGACGAGAGGAGGCCAATCCTTTCGCGGTAAGTTCTGTTTTGCAGAACTTTCTCCTGTTTCGATTTTATCAGATTCTTGCATATGACACACATGGCTATAAGTTTGCGGAATATTATATTTTTGTCTGACTGCTTAATGAAATGAGTAACCGAGTTAATCGATTTGCTATGTCATTTAAGGATCATCACAGGCACACTTGATGAAAAGACAGACTCCCATGACTCCCATATCGAAGGCATTTCCCCTTGGTATGGATATGACTCTTGATTTGTGGGTTTATGGTTTCTTTTTGTTTTCCATCTGCAGTCCTTTGCATAATACATAATTATGGCTCTCCGCTATTTTTCCCGCAGTGGGCCATGTAACCTATTTTTGCTGTCTTGTGGGTGAGAAGAAAGACAAATATAGGATGATTCATGACCTATTTTGTTTTTGTTTTTTTCAATTTGAATTAACTAAATCCATCTCGGTAAAATATAGGATGACTCGCAAGGGTTAAAAGCGTCGGTTCTGTATAGGATATCTCGTAGTCAATCCAATTAAATAAAATCCATAGCATATCATATCAATTTTAACTTGACAAAGATTTCGAGAATTCAATCAAAATTTCCATTTGTTATTTAAATTAAATGATTTATCTATCAAAATAAAATATTTTCCTAACATGCATATGTATATATATAGTTTAGATTGATATTGCCCAAAAAAAACTCTACACATCTCATTGAAGTTTGTATTGGGCGCCATAAATGGCTTTAAACTGTTTTCGGCCGAATCTATTCGATCCGACCGGTGTGATATAAACCGGTCGGTTCTTCTTGACTGTTATCCACAGACAATCCACGTGTCTTCTTCCTCAGCCAACTTCGCTTCCTCCATTTTCCGTCACTTTTCGGAGAAAATCTCTTGAGAAAACTCGTCTTCTGCAGTTGGAGTTCGTAGCACGAGAAAAGTGTCCATCTCTTCTTTGATTTTCTGAGAATTTCCAGAAAGAATTCCGAGTTACTGAAGAAGAAATTTTCCCGACAAACCCTCCTGTCGCTGTTGTTTTTTTTGTGGAGTTTTTCCCGAGAATCCCTGTCCCTTGCGTGAATTCAAGTCACCGATATGAATCTCACCATTCCGAACCCTAACCCTCCCCAGCTCTCCTTCCTCATCCAGAGAACCAGCTTCTCCTGCGATAGGAGATTATTCGAAGTTCGCCGCCTCCGGTTCTTCTCCGGCGGACAGAGACTCTGCTCCGCCGGAAAAGTCAAGGCGAAGACGAAGGAACTCGTTCTCGGAAACCCCTCCGTCGCGGTGGAAAAAGGTAAGTATAGCTACGACGTCGAATCGCTGATCAACAAGCTGAGCAGTCTCCCACCTCGTGGAAGCATCGCGAGGTGTCTAGATATCTTCAAGAACAAGCTCTCGCTGAACGATTTCTCTCTGGTGTTCAAGGAATTCGCTGCTCGTGGTGATTGGCAGAGGTCACTTCGTCTTTTCAAGTATATGCAGAGGCAGATTTGGTGCAAACCCAATGAGCACATATACACGATTATGATCTCGTTGCTTGGCAGAGAAGGTCTGCTTGACAAATGCCATGAGATATTCGACGAAATGCCGAGCCAAGGCGTGCCTCGTAGTGTTTTCTCTTATACGGCGTTGATCAATGCTTATGGTCGAAATGGCCAGTATGAGACTTCGCTTGAGTTTCTAGATAAGATGAAAAACGAGAAGATTCCGCCTAGTATCTTGACTTACAACACAGTGATCAATTCGTGTGCTAGAGGTGGCTTAGATTGGGAGGGTTTGTTGGGTTTGTTCGCAGAGATGAGGCATGAGGGAATACAGCCCGATATCGTCACCTATAACACGTTGCTTAGTGCTTGTGCCTCTAGAGGCTTAGGTGATGAGGCTGAAATGGTTTTCAGGACAATGAATGAGGGTGGAATAGTTCCAGATTTAACTACATATAGTCATCTCGTAGAGACTTTTGGAAAATTGAACCGGTTGGAAAAGGTTTCGGAGCTGTTGAGAGAGATGGAGTCAGAGGGGAATTTGCCCGACATCACTTCTTATAATGTACTTTTGGAGGCATATGCAAAATCTGGATCTATTAAGGAGGCCATGGGGGTTTTCAGGCAGATGCAGGCTGTAGGGTGCACACCAAATGCGAGTACATATAGTATTTTGTTAAATTTGTTTGGACAGAATGGGAGGTACGATGATGTTCGCCAGCTTTTTCTCGAGATGAAAGCTAGCAATACAGAGCCTGATGCTGCTACATACAACATCTTGATACAGGTGTTTGGGGAAGGTGGGTATTTCAAGGAAGTTGTAACTTTGTTCCATGACATGGTGGAGGAGAATATTGAACCAGACATGGAAACATTTGAGGGCATAATATATGCTTGTGGGAAGGGAGGACTCCATGAAGATGCTAGGAAGATCTTACTGTATATGACAGAGAAGGAAGTCGTGCCGAGTTCCAAGGCATACACAGGGGTTATCGAGGCATTTGGGCTGGCCGCTTTGTACGGTGAAGCACTTGTTGCTTTTAATACCATGAATGAAGTGGGAAGCAAACCCACTAGTGAAACTTGGCACTCATTGCTATACTCTTTTGCAAGAGGAGGGCTGTTTAAGGAGGCTGAAGCGATTTTGTCCAGGATGGTTGACTCTGGTATTCCGAGAACTAGAGACTCATTCAATGCACTTATAGAAGCCTATAAGCAAGGAGGTAAATTTGAAGAGGCTATCAAGACTTACGTTGATATGGAGAAAACGCGATGTGATCCCGATGAAAGGACACTCGAGGCTGTTTTAAGTGTATATTGTTGTGCTCGACTTGTTGATGAGTGCAATGAGCAGTTCCAGGAGATGAAAGCTTCTGATATACTGCCTAGTATCATGTGCTACTGCATGATGCTTGGAGTTTATGGAAAGGCTGAGAGGTTAGTTCCCCACCCAATCTTACACTTTGTCTACTTCTTGTAAAGTTCATACCTTACAATATAAAAACAATACATAAAGGAACAGGTGGCTAACACATAGGAGATACACAGGCAATCTAGGAAGAGTAATATTAATTTGTCGACTGTTGGGTCTTTTAGCAGATTGTCGACTGTTTGATTGGTGACAAACAACTTAAAATTTTGATTGAATAAACGTAAAATATGGGGACCTCATAACAGAAGGAAACCATCAAATGTAATGCTGGTTTGGGTCTTCATAAGGGCAGCCCATTGCACAAAGCATCCCCTCTGAGCGGGGGTCTGGGAAAGAGCCCCACCACAAGAGTGTATTGTAGGCAAATCTTTTTTTGTAGAATATTCAGCAAGAGACTGTTTATAGGACTAGAACCCGTGACCTCCATGTTACAACGACAGCATCTCAACCGGTGCGCCAAGACTCCCCTTCTTGATTTGGGTCTTCGTATGGGTGAATAATCGTAGAAGATCTTAATTTTGGGCTTTCGGTTTTGTTGAGGTGTTTCCAGTTTTATGTCATGCTTTTTAGATGTTTAATTTGTCAGAGAGCCTCTAGTGTCTGTGACACCGTTTCATTAAATGCTCTGAATGTTCTGTCCTTTTTAAGTAGATATTATAACTACAGCAAATACCAATTACCTGAAGGTTCAGATGTTTGGTTCCTATCAAGTTGTTAGTATCATACTAGGACCCTGTGTTGTCAATATATCCAGTTTGAGTAACTTGTTTAGTGTGTAGAGGAAGAACTTCGTATCAGACGAAATGTAGTTTAGTTGGTTAACTTAAGCTTACTTATGTAAGTCACTTGTATTCAAGGAATGATAGTTGTACTGTAACAAAGAAGAAGGAATAAAATTCCATAATTCCCCTTTCTTCATCTGCTCATATTAGTACTTTGGTTACTGTATTGTGCTTATCTTGAAATTTGTTATAACTGGTAGCTAAACCTATTACTCTACTAAACTTTTTCATGTTAAAATTCCGGACGTTTTATTTTCAGGTGGGATGATGTCAATGAGTTACTGCACGAAATGCTCTCAAATAGGGTCTCAAATATTCATCAAGTGATTGGGCAAATGATCAAAGGGGATTATGATGATGACTCTAACTGGCAGATAGTGGAATATGTTTTTGACAAACTCAATTCGGAAGGATGCGGTTTGGGAATGAGGTTTTACAATGCACTTCTCGAAGCATTGTGGGGGTTGGGTCAGAAAGAACGGGCTGCAAGGGTGCTCAGTGAAGCAACAAAACGTGGACATTTCCCCGAACTCTTCCGTAAAAATAAACTTGTGTGGTCGGTTGATGTGCATAGGTAGCATACGAGCTCTATGTCAATAAATACGAGGCGGTAAAGTGTCAGCATTTTAATTCTTGAGTTGTGACCTGACACGCAGGATGTCTGAGGGCGGCATGTACACTGCTCTTTCCGTTTGGCTAAATGATCTGTTTGAGATGCTCTTAAAAGGGGAGGATCTTCCTCAATTAGCAGCTGTTGTTTCAGTGTAAGTATTCTATCCTCGCTTTGTCGCATTCCCTGTATTTAATCCTTTGATCAGACGACATGAACATATCCCCCACGTGAAAAATTCCATAGCATTAGCAGCTCGGGAGATTGTTATACATCCTTATGGCACACTTTCTTGAGAATCATAATATTATGTTGGTTTATTTCTTAAAACTCAATTTAGTTGATCTTCCTTTCTCTTAGCTGAGTTTCTCAACCTGAGTGGAAGTTTTTTCTAATGTGCTGTGGAAACAAAAAAAAAAACATTTGTTTCCTCATAGATTCTTTGTATGATGATAGCTGGTACTCTTATCGGCCTCTCATGTACTTTTTGAAATCAGTTGTCATTTGTAAGCATGTTGTGCTATCGGTTATCCTCTCTTTAGCTCGTGTTATCTATAGAATATGTGAACCTGTTCACTGCAAAACTCTTCCAGCCCTCTTGGTAATTCTTCCAATTTCAAATTCTGCAGAAGGGGAGAAATAGAGAAAAGCTCAGCTGCAAGAGATTTACCAATTGCGAAAGCTGCTCATTCGTTCCTGCAGGATCACGCCTCATCTTCATTTTCCTTTACGGGATGGAATGGAGGTCGCATTATGTGTCAGCGATCTCAGCTCAAGCAGATTCTATCCACTAAGGTTTCATCTCCGGACGAGCCCCAGCAAAAAAAGCTAGTCACTTTAACAAACTCTCCGATTTTTGCTACTGGAACAAGAACATCAACAGGAAACAACACGAACTACGTCAGTAACCCTTCCCAAACAAGACCAAAGACGAAAAAAGAACTAACAGCAAGCCCGGCTTGAACCGCATGCATTATCGCTACTGCACAATGCCATTGTGAAATCCATAGTTCTTCCTTATAGGGGGGTGGAAACCGTGCAACTTGTGGTAGTTTGCACAGATCTCGGGCAAGCAGCAACCAGACCATCTGGTAGAATGAATGATTTGGGAGGGGAAGACATGGGACATGGTGATCTTATTTCATTTGCAGAGGCAACTACACAGATGCCAAGTAAGTTCTTGTTTGCTGCACCATCAAATCCGTGATTTTGCATCCATAGATTTGTTTCAATGTGCTAAATTATGTCTTTCCAAAACGTTCTCTGGAACAAATGCTGGTGTAGGATGATCGTTACAATAGTTATAGATTCGGGTCCATCCATGAATCAGGTTCTATGCTAAATCTCAGCTAATGGCATCTCTCAAACTTATATCCTAACATATGAAACTAGAGGTGGCTACGGATCGAATACCCAGATTTTTGGAGGTATTTGGCTTTGCCTTCGTCTTTGTTTTCGTCTTCACGGGTTTTAGGAAAATATTATCTCGTTTTTATTTTCTAAAGCTCGGATACCCGCGGTCGGAGTACTCGTCGCTGAACTCAATTATGCGAGATATCCAAACCCATCAAATCTTAAGAAAATTGTTGATTTTTGTTGATTTCAAAGGTATTTTAGTAATTTAATTTGAAAATATATTTATGTTTTATTGTAAATATATTAATTATAAACGTCATTTTATTGATATCCGAGTATCCGAAGGTATCCGCCGTCGTTTAAACAAAATCCAAATCCGAACTCGTTATGAAACGAGTACCTGCGTCTCGAGTATCCGTGAACCGGGTATCCGAAAACCCGTGGGTTTCAAGTATCCGTCCACCCCTATATGAGACCAGTTAAAGTTGGCGTCTGAATCACCAAACGCAGCATAGTCGCAGTTTGTGCAGTGGTGGATTCATGGTTTCCCTTCTATGAGTCCGGTTCTATTAAAATAAACGGCCGAATACCGCCTCGTGGTTTCCCTCTAGCCCTCGAGGAAGATATTCTCCACGGGAACAACGTTGTGTTAGACATTATCTAGTGGATGTCCAAACATGCGACGCCGCAATCCGTCTCATAGCTGGCGTTTAAACTATTGGGCTGAAAATAGATCTGGTATTAATTTTTTAGGATATTCTAATAATGTTTAAAGCAATTTGGTAACTTTTAAAAATATGATTAATTTATCAAAAATTTATATCAATCTAATTAAATTTATTAACTAAAAAATAAATGCTTGAGACTATTTTATATTTAATTTAAAGTCACTTTTCATAAATAATTAATTTATAAATATTATTGATTTAACAAAATAAAACCAATTATCAAATGTTTTTCCTTTTATATATGACAAAATACAATTATGTTTAATAAATGTTTTGTTATTTTAAATCAGATTTATTTATTTATTTATGATACATTAAATATATAAACTAGAAAATATAATTATGAAAAAATTGTAATAAAAATAAATTGGTGAGATGAATTTGGTTAAACTTGTTCATTTTTATTTCATAAAATTTTGATTAACTATAAAAAATATTGTAAAATTAAATCAGAAGTTTTAAAAAGTAATCAACAATGAAATTATAAGAAAAAATTCATAAAATATAATTCTTTTTAATAAAATTTATTGTTATTTTTAATTGAGAATATTAATTTATAAAATAATAATAAATAAACTAAAAAATATAATAATAAAGAAATAACGACAAAACATCAATGATAAGAATAAAATTTCATTTTGTAAAAGAAACTAATGAAAAATATTTTTTCTCTTTATCAAACAAAAATAATCTATATCATTTTTTTTACTAAATTTATATCAATAAATATAATAATATGATTAATGAAAAAAAAAGAATAATTAATGGATCTTCATCTACTAATAAATAATAAAGGTGTTTAGATTTGAAATCTAATTTCTTTTTTTTTCTATAGGTCTCGTTCGAACTTGAGTTTCATAAAAATGTAATTTTATATTTTTAAAAAGATTAACGATGATTTTATAATTTTTATTAACTATAAAAAATACTTTTGTAAATATTGTCTATTTGGATGTCCAACAATCACTAAATTTTGTTCTATTACGGTGATCTACCAATATCATTGTCATTTTGGACAGTATCTATATAAGGTCTAGAGGTCGTTATACATTATACCGCAATCCACCACCAAAACGGTCTTTAAAAAATTTCTTAATACATTGGTTCAAAGTTGGGGATTGATGCACATTGGTCTATGCATTGGATTAAATTATTCCCAAATGCATCTAAAAAAAGGGTTAGAAAGTGGGAACTAAGAACATCAATCAATCTCCACCCAAAATCAAATCATATTCTTCAAGATTCTTTTGGTTTCATGTGCTCTCCATTATATATGCTTTTGTTTGTTTTCTGATTAGGGAAAGTTATAAACTTCTCCAAACCCTAACAAGAAATGGAAAAAAGAAAAACACTAAAGGGTTTGTAGTGCTTCATGTCTTTGTAAAGTAGACGGCTTTGCTTTGTAACCGATGCAAGTGCTTTGCCCTTCAATTCTCCACAACTTGGTTGATAGTTTTATGGAAAATGTTCTCTTTGTGACTTCATAAAGAGATTCCTATGTTTCTATGCAATGCAATGAGAGTTTGGACAGAATTTAAATTCCAAATAAACCCAAATTTTAATTATTTTTTTTTGTATTTAAATTGGTTCACCGAACATTCGATCCACCTACATCTATCCTTAGTTAGAAAACTGTCTTAGTATAATTAAATTGATTTTTTTTTCAACAACAAACGCATCCTCCATCTTCAACCATCCACACTACTCGGTCTGCTTCGATTGGGTCAATTTTTTTATAACTATTTTATTTCTTGTGTGACAAACTTGATTTTAGAGACAATCGAGATTTAGAGTAGAGAGCTAATAGTTTGCCCATAACTATGGAGAGACAAAAGATCCAAGAAGCATTTTCTATAAAACAAAAAAAAAAAGAAATAGAAATTAAGGAAAGAGCAAACGATATGAGTGCCGTATATGATATATCTCCTTGCGGTTAAATAATATTATCATATGCAATTATTTATTGTATTGATATTGTTGCGATTTTTATTATTCAAATTGAGTGGAACATCTTTTCCTTGGCAGGAAAAGAGAGGAGGATCCATGTGCGCCGAGTGGCCCGGGTTTCGTGAGAAGTATTTCAGCGTGTCAATTGGAATATTCCGTTTATCAAATTTAATAATTTGGAGGGGATTACATAAATAACAAAAAATAATTATAAAATAAAATAGCTTCAAGGGTTATTTGAGAATGATTTTTCATATCATTAAAATATAAAATAAAATTTTAAAAATTATTTAAGAAGTTACTCTTTTACTAATTTCAGTTAAAAAAAATCATTACATCTAATTTCTCATAAATTTTTATCCACCACAAATATACTTCCTAATTTTTACTAATTAGATTAGTCGCTTCACTCTTTGTAATTCCTCGTCGATTCTAGAGCTGATATATAAGTGTTATTTAAAGAAGAATTAATTATTAATCAAAACATATTTTTCATATTTCAATTGCTAGTATATTTGTCTTTAATGCGGTCCGTATTAGGTGTGTAGACGATGACAACTTTTAATTTCTAGTCAAAGACTACTAATGACTTATCGATTATCCCCATGCGAAACTTCTCACTCAAATCATGTATATTTAAATAGATTATCGCAATAAACGAGGTAAAATAAAAATAAATAAATTATTCAGATAATATGTATGTACAATAGTTTAAAATAACATTAACTTTCAAATTTATATCAAAATACATAAAATTTATAAATATTACCATAAATCTATTCAAATTTTTCAATTTTTTCGTAATATATTTGGGTTTATGGTAATTTTTGCCAAGTTTATATATTTTGGTAAGAGTTTTAAAATTGGTGTATTTATATGATAATTTTTAAAAGTGATGTTTTTTAGACTATTTTCACGAAAATGAAATGGGTATTGTGCCATTTAAGCTAAAGATATAGTTTTTAAATCTATGACAGATAATGAAGCAGCCAAGCAGGTACGGATATATTAATATAATTGTAATTATAATTAATAAATCTACAGAAGAAGTCATGTGAAATCGACATATTTTTTTGGGTACTATAAGATCAAGTTGCATGTGCCGGGACAATGAGTTGACCAGATTGGATTTATGCATTTGAATAATAATAATAATAATCATCATCATTAAAAATCTAAAAAAAATTAATATAACTTTCATATTAATAATAAACTTTTCGAATTCACAATCGATTTTAATAAAAAAATATTAAACATTTAAATTTTTTATAAAACATTAATCGATATTAAATGATGTTAAAATAGGAAACGGATTATCTGATGTACAATTGATTTTTTGCAAGTCAACCATCACACCAAATAAAAATTAAATAAAAATAATTATAATTACAAATATACTAAAAATAATTTTAAAATAAAAAAGTAATATATATATATATATACATATACATATATACATATTACATTAAAGATAAATAGTATCAAAGACGATATTCTTCTATTACAGTGTAATTCGATGTCGAATTAGGTGGAAGATTGTATATCTCTAATATCTCGATACCGATGGAGCCATGAAAGTGAAGAGTGATTATCAATGTGATAGGGTACAGTTAAGGAGTGCTTCCTGGCAGACTTAGATAGGAGAAATAAGGTGACAAATTGAATGCATCAGAATGAGAAATATCCCGAGTATTGCTTAGATGTGAAACTATACAGTGAATGGTAATTTAAAAAAATTGATTAAAGTATTTAAACTAATAAGATACATCTAACTTTTCGATTGTATATCACCAGAGAATTACAAAATTAAGTGTATGATGTGACGTAGTTTTAGAATGCTAACCTTTTGAAAAGTATTTCTAAGAATGTGTGTGAATGACACTACAATAAAAGCAAATCGTTTCAAACGGACGAATCTGTTGGAAATAACCGAAAATTCGTTAAAAATTATGATTTCCAACGAATTTTTCCGCTGAAAACTGTCATTGAGAATTATTTTACATTGAACGCACGTTAGAATTTTTAACGGAATTCAATAGATTTTTCGTTTAAAATTTTTCAATCGGAATCCGGTAGAATTTTAAACGGAATTTTAATTTATTATAATTTTAATTTTTAATTATTTTTTATTTTATTATTTATAATATAATTATATTTATTTATATTTAATTTTTTAATTATTTTAATTATTTTTAATATTATATCTTATATAATTATAATTACTTTTTATTTTTATTTAAATTTTATCCGATATACATAATGATTTGGTAAAAATTAAACGTTACGTCAGATTATCAACTAGTTTTTTTTACGTCGATAATTTTTTGTCATAAAATTAAATTTTTTTTTTATCAAAATCGATAAATTTATATTTATTTTAAGAATTCAAAAAATTTATTATTAATATGATTATTATCTCAAAATCTAGTAATTTTTTAAAAAAATATAGAAAAAAATGAATTAATTTTTTTTAAGTTTATCAAATTGTAATTTAATTCTATCCAAAGGGAAACCTATAAGCACAGCTAAGTGAAGCAACAGAGCTAAACGAACAACTCATAACCCGACGCGTGTTGCCGTCACTCACAGCAGCCACAACATGCAATTGTTTAATGATCGACCACGTGGCATTTGTCCTTTATAAAAACCCACAAAGCAGCTCAGATCCATTCACCACATACATCCTCCTTTCTCCATTTTTCATTTGATCGGTCCAAAGATTCCCTGTGCAAGGGCAAAATAGTAATTTGTAGAATCAATGGCAGCCGAAAACTCTAGCTCGTCGGAGACCACCGGCGGTTGCGTCGGAGGAGGAGCGAGGAAGGAAATCATGCTGTTCGGCGTTAGGGTTGTGGTTGATCCGATGAGGAAGTGTGTGAGTTTGAACAATCTGTCCGAGTATGAGCAACCGGAGGAGATGACGAAGAAGATCGGCCGCGGCGGAGATGTCGACAGAGGAGAAGAGAAGAACACGGTGGAAGTCGCCGTCGCCGCAGGTTACGTCTCCGCCGATGACGCTGTTCCGATCTCTTCTTCTTCCGGTGGAAATCGTGAACGTAAAAGAGGTATTTTTTTTCCCGATCTTCAATGATACGATATCTGATCTTTGGTTGTATATTCCGATGGGGCGATTGATTTGTAGTATCCCGATGGAACTGTTTGCAATCTTTTGGAATGAATCAAATCGGCCTTCTTTCCAACTTTTTTCCTTCGGATATAGAAATGAGTTGTCGAGTTCTGAGTCTAGGAGAAAAAATCGGCAGAGCGTTGTCCCTCTTTTTGTTCTTTGTTGTCATCTTTATGAGGGCAAAGCAGACAATCGTAGTTTTCCGGAGAAACTTCATTGATTTATCAATTTCTGAAAGTAACCAGTCCCACGAGAATCGGGAAATATAAACTGTGGTTGAGCAAATTGGCGTAAGGAAAAAAAAAAAGAGATCCCTCTTTCCTTGATTCATCTTTTGACAGTGGCTGATTCTTCATGTGGTGCTTGTGAAAAAAACAGGAATTCCATGGACTGAGGAAGAGCACAAGCTGTTCTTGCTTGGGTTGCATAAGGTAGGGAAATCCAGAAACTTCGTGAAGACGAGGACGCCTACTCAGGTGGCAAGCCACGCTCAGAAATACTTCCTTCGGCGGAGCAATCTGAATCGCCGTCGGCGAAGATCTAGCCTCTTTGACATGACCACAGAAACGGTAATTTCTGATCTTCTGTGCTTCTCTGAATGAATTAGATGGCGCCCAGATGATTTACCCATCAATGGGTTTATTTCCGGTTTCATAGATGGTTTGGCTTGAATGTAGACGGATTTATTAGCTTTAGAGGATGTTTTACTTTCCTCGCATTCTTTGAGTTCTCCACCTTTGGAGACTTGTTTGGTTTCTGCCTTTTGCCACTTGAACTTTGTTACAAAGTTACTTTTTCAATTTCCTAGCCATTTCTTTCTTCTTTTTATCAATGTGTTCTCTAGAGTCCTTGGGAGAAAAAAAGGGTCTAGTTGTGTTTCTTTGTTGTTGAGAGGGATAAGAAGCATGGGGATTGTGAAGGGTCTTTTGTAGAAAGTCCTTCTGAACCATTTTTATTTTGGTCAACCTGAGATTATTGTTATCAAGCAGTGCAAGAAAGTGGATAAATTATGACAATCTGAAATTGAGACAGATTTCGACGGTTTGTGAAACAGTTGTACGTCCTTGTTATCATCAGGTCTCAGGAAGTCGACAGTTTGCGTCCTGAGAGCAACAGCAGTGATGGAAACCCGGTGTTCCAAATGTTCCCGACAATCCCAATACCGATTCCTACCGTGAACCCAACACAAGAACAGACTTCTCATCCACAGACAGATCTCGTTCGTCTTGTCCCGTTAACCTTCCAACCACCAGCTGCATTCAATCTAAGCACAGGAGAATTAGTGAATTCTCCATCTCTCTCCCTCGGCCTATCTCTGGCCTCGCCTGGTTTCAGCTGCGGAGACAGCAATAGCATCATTGGTGTCGCGTAGAGCCAAGGTGAATCAGCAAAGAACCCTGTTTGCTTCTTTGTTGTACAGATTAGGTTACAAAATCAAAAGGAAGGTTTGTGTCTTGTTCTAGGGTTTATCTTTATATTGATGTTCGTTCGAGTTCGAGTTATAAAAACCCAAAACACGAAGAATAACTAAGGATCCTGTGTGGTTCCGTACAAGTGGCTAGAGCTGTCTTCTTGTTTTTCCTTCCTTCGTGATGGAAGCTGTAATACTAAGTTAGTTGCTGTTCTTAGTGAGTCAGTGTGCGAACTATCAAAACACAAAATCTGACGGACGGTCCGTTTTCATTTTTGTGGGTACGTAATGTTAGTTTCGGAAGGTTCTTGCATTTTAACCAGTCGTGTTTGGTCTGGTGGTTTGTGAGCTTGTGTGTGTGTGTGTACATAATCCTTGGGGATAAGATACGTGGGTGTGGCCGAATATTTATTTATCACCATCTTTAATGCGAAAGATGCGCATTAAAGATAGGTATATATATATATATATATATATATATAATAGTATATTTTTGGAGTGGAGATAATTAGGTAGATTACTTGTACCGATGCGTAATGGCATGCATGATCATGATCGGCCAATAAAAAAACACTTCATTCCGTTTGGTTGATTCATTTTAACTTTTTTTAAAATATATATATATATATATATATATGATGTTACGATTTGGTATATAGATGAAATCGTGGAAATGGACGTCTGATTTCCTTGGACCACATAAGTATTCGCCATCCGATTGAATATTCAGATTCTGCTTTTGCAAAGGTTGCATCTTTAGACCTCTTCAATTCCACATACATCTATATACATACACATACATACATATACACATACCCAAATTTTATTTTGTTTTTTACCAAAACAGATGTTTTAACTAATAAAATAAAACTCAATGGAAACGTATTCAATTGGTTTCCAGTACGTCCAAAACCTTTCGATTTGTTCGAATTTAATAAATAACCGACGGCAATGTGAACATATTGAGAGAGAGAGAGAGAGAGAGAGAGAGAGAGATCTAAATATATCGAATCCCTATCAATGATGAACCGGCTTTTCAGCTACATTTCGACTCTAAATCTTTCTGTTTATAGCAACAATTAGAGTCACCATCAAAAAGTTTTCCAATCCAAACATAGAGCACAACCATCATAACACAATCACAGACACAAAACCATGGCAAAGGGGGAGAGGGAGGGAGAGAGAGGGCTCATGATCCGTGACAACCTCAATCTCATGTGTTAATTAGGACGCAGCTTCTTCTGTAGTTCTTGCTGTTGTTCCGATTGTGTTTCGGCACAATGCCTAAGCGCTCCTTCAAGAATTTCGTGGAACAAGAACTTGGGAGAATCCCGCAGTTCGTGATCTTCGCATTTCTTGAATGGATCCTCATCGCAATCCTCTTCATCGACGGATTTCTGGCCTTTCTTTCCAACGAATTCGCCAGATTCTTCGAGCTCAAGATTCCCTGCCTTCTCTGCACGAGAATCGACCATGTCCTTGTCCGGAGGAACCCCGATTTCTATTACAACAGCTCGATCTGTGACTCGCACAAGAAGAAAGTTTCGTCACTCGCCTATTGTCACATCCACAAGAAGCTCTCCGAGATCAAACACATGTGTGAAGGTTGCCTTCTTTCTTTCGCCACGGAGAAAGAATCGGACACCGATACTTACAAGTCCCTCATCGGTATCCTGCACAAGGATCTTGAGCTTCTCATCGACGACGAACGGGAATTTCAGTTGACGTTTCCGGTTTCCGGGCCGAAGAAAGAGGACAGTATCGTCCAGCAGAATGTGGATTACAGGACGAAATACGATAGCTCGGGTAACGTTTTCCAACCACAACTCCGTTGTTCGTGCTGTGGTGAGTTACTGAAGGCGAGTTCGGCAAAGCCAAAGAGTTCATTCCTTGCTCCCACTCCTTCTCCTAGAGTGTCATTCAATCAACGGACGTTGGATATGTCGCACGTTAAATATACCGAGCTTAACAAATTTTCCGATACCGAATTGGAGTTGCCTGAGGATGAGGACTCTTCAAACACGGACAATCCCGGTAAAATATTGAATTCCTATGCAATGTCTGAAATTGGTACCTGGTATTCCATCATTTTAACGGTTTGGTCGATCATTCCAGCATCTAAAGAAGATATAAAAGGAGCATCGGTCCCGCTTTTGGCAGACCCGGATGAACCACTCGAGGAACGGACACCAAGTTTTGTACGTGGAGGCAACAAATTCTTCGGGATTCCGCTCTCTGATTCCGCTCAGAACAGTCCGAGGTGGTCTGTCCGCCCTGTCAGGAAATCCTTTCTGGACAAGACATCGAATGCCTCGGAAAACGCAGATCAAAGCGAAGCAATGGACGGAGATTATATCCTTCAACGGCTCAAAAGGCAGGTTCGCTTGGACAGGAAGTCACTGATAGCGCTGTACATGGAGCTAGACGAAGAGAGGAGCGCCTCGGCTGTCGCGGCCAACAACGCAATGGCGATGATCACGAGGCTTCAGGCTGAGAAAGCGGCTCTTCAGATGGACGCTCTGCAGTACCAGAGGATGATGGAGGAACAAGCAGAGTATGACCAAGAAGCCTTGCAGTCTATGAATAACATGTTGGCCAAGAGGGAAGACGAACTGAAGGATCTGGATGCTGAACTCGAGGCCTACCGACAGAAATACAGATCTGTACCGATAGTAGAAGGAGACGATGAAGGAGAACAGTTTCTTACAGAAGGCGGCAAAATTACCGCAGATGAAAACGATGAAGAGGGAAAACCAGTCTTGAATTCGCCGGATTGTTGTTCGAGCAAAGGCTCAAACCATGAAGAAGAAGAAGAGGAAGAAATCAATGGCAGTGCGTCTTCTAAACCTGAGGAGACAAGCCGTTTGGGGCAAATCGAACAATCAGACGAAACGGATATTTCCGTTCACGAGTCCACTGCTAACAATGGAAAAGGTAACAAAAGATTAGGGATTTGAGATGGGTGGCCATTTTGATTATTAACCAAATAACCGAATCGAACCGAATAAGATATAACCGTGACCGAACCGAATCCAAAATTAAAACCAAAAAATTATGACTTCTCTGATCCCGAAAAACCGAAACCGAACCGATTCAAACCAAACCAAAAATAATTGAAAAAACCGTAAATTTCTTTTTGAAAAAATGAGTTTTTTACCAATAAATGAACCGAAACGAAGTTGGTATAACAAACGAGTGGCTATAAGTTTCTATAACCGAAATGAACAAACCCGAATATAACCAAACCAAAATCCGAAATGGCCGCCCTTATTTTTAACTCACGTAACCGAGCTAATTTCGACGCGGGCTATGAAGCAATTATCTAACTTGTTTGCCATGAAATGGGGCAGGAAATGGAGGAAACAAGGAGGTGTTGGTAAGGGAGCTTTCGGAGATCACGGAGAGGCTAAACGCTCTCGAAGCGGGCGGAGACTTGTTGAAACATATATCAGAGGTTTTAGATGTTAGCGAAGGCGAAGCGATTCTGTTTCAGATCTCTCAGAATCTGCACATGCTTCGTAGTTTTGTTGCAATGCCTCCCGACGCGTGATTCCACTCTCACTCCCCAATGTAAAACTGTTTTGTGTTTTTCCCCCTCTTCTCTTCATGTGAAACCAAACATTTTTTCCGCAGGAAACATGACCAAACATCAATATATTCCGAGATTTGAATCTTGTACAGTTTTATTTATCCTTATTTTAGACTGTTTCCTTATATAATGAGAAACTCGGATCATTGCTCTGGTACCATATAGGAAATCAGATGGTGGAGGTAAGAGTATTGGATTATCGCAAGAGAACAATGGGGAATGTAGTCTTTGATTCGTAAAGAATGAAGAGATTTTTATATAAATTTGAATTAAACAAATGGTAGAGAATGAATGGGGTTTTTGGTGTTTGTGAAAGAGAATGATGAAATGAAGATGTTAAGTATCCAACGGCTAGCTTTAACTTGAGTAAGATTCTAATCTTTCTTGATGCTCACTTCATTTATGGACATTTGACTTATATTCTGCATTGTCTTCATGTTCTTCAACTTCTTGTGCAAGTGTAACATTTGTGCATATTCTAACAAAGAAGAGACTTGATCTATTATTGCAAGAGAGGAGGAATCGCGATGTAAAAAGAAAAGGAAAACAATAGAAATAACAATGATGAGAAATGGAAAACAAATAAATTGTAAAAAGAAAGTCGCCAATCCAATTTGGATAGTTCAACCGGTGAAATGGGAACGCAAAGTGTATGTCCTGTCTCGAGTTCGAGCCTTAACTTGGGGAGAAGAACGTATATTCTAATCACATAGCTTTCTCCTAGCTCCGGGATTAGTCTGGGCCTCGGCACAGAACATCCGATTACCAAAAAAAAAAAAGAGTCACCCTTGAACAAGCATCGGAGAATATCCATGTCTGAGATCTGCGCATGCTGGTGGCGTCATTGATGCATGAAAGGGAATGGGCCTTGGGCCCAACAAAGAGAATCAGCGCAAGTATAAGGAACTTGGGCTTACAGGCCCATGTTGCAATCCCCTTTTCGCCCCACGCGCTTCCATGTCCGCATCCGTGTCCGAGCCTTCATGTCCGAGCTTCCATGCATGTCCGTCGAGTAAAATATTCATCCACGTATTTTTATTGATACTGAGTTAAAAATACATAAATAATTAAAAAGATAGTTTCCAATTATTTTATAACCTTTTGTCTTTTATTTAAATCCGTGGATGATTTCAATTCGACAATGATGTATGAATGGTGTTTAATAATGTAAGAAGCTCATAAAAACCATCAGTATTGTGAAAAACTAAAAAAACTAATTCCTCATTTTCAACCAGCAAGATAGACGCGCCTCGGTTAGAACTTCATTAGCTGCGTTATTGCCCCAAACGTGGGATTTTACCGGTATTTTAGGAGATGTAGTTGAACCAAAGATTCGGTGAACTTCCGTATTATAAAAAAAACAACTAATTCCTCAATTTTCTTACTTAAAACATGACACAAAACTTCAAACTTGTTAAATACTATTACTTGGAAAATTGACCAACTTTACTTTTATCACCATCAATTTAGTATATTATATGTCAAGTAGAGGGCGGAACCAAAAATATTTGTTATTGTATATATAAAATTGTATTCTATAATTGAACTGATTCTTTATTTTTTAAAATTTATTTATAACAACTTCATTTTTAACAATTATCTTTTTTGATAAAATAAACTAGACAATCATTACTAATACAATTGCATAAATATGTTTTCACAAAATTTATCATTGAAAAATATCTTTCAGCAGTCGTGGTGATAATAGATAAAATTAAAGCTAATTTTAAAAGTCTATATAACGATGGATTATAATTGAATATTAAAATATATTATATTATATTTATTATTGTTTTATGGAGAATATTTTTAGGTATTCATATTGATTCACTAGAGGTTCGACCCAATTATATCTCTGAGTGAGAAGGCAACCTTAATATAATTAAATTGTATCAACCTTCAACCCATACATGCATCAAGTGGGTTCAATTAGCTTTACCTTTTCCTGATATGCCGTCCCAAGATTTCTCTTGTAAATACACATACATAGACATATATACATGCATATATTTGTTCATATACACGTATACATATATATTTATATTATATATATATATATATATATATATATAATTTTGTCTCCGAACCAATTCTATGTAGAATAGTTTCCTAAGTGTGCGTGCGATATTTGAGTGTTCGATCAACCGCTGTGCAACAATAAAACAAAATCTTCGTTATTAACAATTTTATTTTTATTTAACATGAATCTTACTCTATTTCGTCTTGAAAATTCGAACATCTTAATAACTCGGATATGATTTGAAATACACTTCTAAAATTAATATTTATATGCCAGCTCTTGGTCAAATATTTAATTATTATTAGGTACTTGAAATCAACACGTTACTGCAATCTTTTAAACACTTAAATGGGCAGGGTTGCTTGGAGTTTCTATTTTGTTTTGTTATTTTTAATTAATTTTCCATGAAAATAGTTGAAGCAGTATCCTGTGACAAAGTAGAAGGCGTGATGTAATTCAAAAGTTTTAACTCCCTTTTATAAAAAAAAAAAAAAAAAAAAAAGCTTATTTAGATGTCAACTGTTTTTATATTCTAAGTAAAATTTCAAAAGTTGTCACACCCCTATCTTTTTTATAAATTGCTAGAAAGAAAAACAAAACCTACTTTGAAAAATAACCAGAAAAATAAAACAAAATTATAATAAATACCGGAGATGTATTATTGGTGGCTATTTAATGAGACCGCAATAAATTGGTGTACACCCAAAAAAGAAAATTAAAAATCTAGAATATTGAAAAGTTTTATAAGTCTTTTAAAATATTATAAGAAATAAATAAATAAATAAAAAAGAGTAAATGGAATGTAACGAAACTTATTATAATGGACAAGGAGCCATCATATTTGACAATTTCATGCAAATTATTGCCTTTTCCAAATGCCCAAAACCTAGGCTTTAGACCGTAGATGTTAGAACTAATATAGTTATGTGTTATATATAGTTTGCTATTTCGATTTTGTGTATTAAATTAGACCATTTGATGGTTAGATATATTTCAATGAATTAAATTATAAATGGTTAGCTCTATTTCAGGTAGGATTATATTATTTTCAAAATCTAAAAGAGAAACCTCAAGAGTTTTTAACTTTTATCTATAGAAAAAAAGCAGATTATAAAAACCGAGAGAAAATAAAATATTAGTTGTTTTGGAAATTATACATGGATTTTTTTTTTTATGTTATAGTAATATCTTTTATGAATTATACATAACGAGTTACTAAAATATTAAAATTATCGGACAAGAGAATTTCAAATTCGAACCATGTAATAATAAAACACTAGGAAATTATTGGAATTCAATAAAACACGTTCAAAGAATTAAACAGGTAGAAATAGCGATTTCTGGAAATAACAGTTGACAGTTTCTGCAGATGAAGTCCCCACGCCCTTACCAAATGCCCAAAGCGTTAACCGAGGAACATCGAATCTCAAATTCCAATTCATATAATAATTAAAAGAAAACATCTTTGATATTCTTTTTCTTGAACCCAACTAATCTCAACTAATCTCCCAATATATTTCATTTTTCTTGCCGGCAATTTGGAATCAGTCAATAAATATTTTCCATCACTTCATCATTATCACACACACACACATACATATATATATAGCCATAAGCGCCTTATGTGTCTGCAACCAATTTGCTATCATTCTATAGCCATGGATACTCTTCAAGTCTCTTCCATTCTCTTCAAATCTCTCCTCCTCACTCTCTGCCTCTCCGCGATCCCATCTCTCGGATCCGATCCCGACCCTTTACAGGACTTCTGCGTGGCGAACCTCGGGGCTTCTCCCTCCATCAATGGCTTCCCGTGCAAAACAGGCGCAACCTCGGAAGATTTCTTCTTCTCAGGCCTTATGGCGCAGGGTAACACCTCGAACCCTAACGGCGTTGCAGTCGCACCAGGTAACGTCCTGACGTTCCCGGCGTTAAACACGTTAGGGTTGTCAATGAACAATGTAGAGTTCGCACCTGGAGGAGTCAACCCACCTCACGTGCACCCACGTGCCACCGAGGCGGGGGTCGTGATCGAGGGATCCATCTTCGTGGGGTTCGTCACCACGAACAACACGTTGTATTCTAAGGTTATGAAAGCCGGTGAGATGTTTGTCGTCCCAAGAGGTTTGGTGCATTTTCAGTGGAACGTTGGGAAGGTAAAAGCGCGTTTGGTGACTGCGTTTAACAGCCAGTTGCCGGGCGCGGTCGTGCTTCCCAACGCCTTGTTTGGGTCGAACCCGGCGATTCCAAACGCGGTTTTGACGAGGGCGTTTAGGACTGATGATAACACCGTGAACAGCCTCAAGTCTAAGTTTGGGATGTAATATTTTCGCTAATCAAAGTACTGTGTGTGTGGCTTCTTTTCGAACTAAATTATACGAATAAATGCCGTGGAATCTGTCCCGAAGTTTGTGTACCAATTGGACTGAATATTTGTGATTTTTTAATATATTTATAATTTAAATTATGTACGTCACATTTATAATAATGGATTAGAATTGGCTATATATTATACTAAACTGTGGACTTTGTTGCTTTTTTTTAATTGGTGTTTGAATCCATGTAATAACTCAAGATAATATATTTCTATATCCGTCGTACCAAAACTATATATTCCTTAAATCCATGTATATATTCAAGGACCAGTTACGACCTGGGATTTGATATTTAATTACTTTGGAATCAACCTTCACGAATTAAAGCGCTACCGTCGCTACATATGAGAAAAATATAAAAAATCCTTTTTTCCAACTTAGTATATATTTAATATAAGTTTTGGGAGTAATAATTTCGTAATTGAATCCACGTGAAATGTAATAGAAGAATATGGGAAGGGCGTATGTGTGGGGTCATCTGTGCTTCGTCACTTTCAGACATTTTAGTCAGATTGCCATATGACTCTCTCTCTCTCTCTCTCTCTCTCTCTCTCTCTGCGCTTTAACTTCTCTAAGAATGTGCTACGAAATTGAAGAGCTAAATATACTTGTACAGTTTTCAATATGAAAATACATATATATATATATATATATATTATGGGCCGGTGTAACATAAAATTAATGGTCTGCCAAATTTAGAGAAAAAATTATTTTTTAATTTTGATGTTCTTTGATAATTTTCTACCTATTTATGTGAATATATTCTAATGTCGTTCTGCGTAGGACGGTGGGTTTTCTCAGGTCTGCGATGCTGTCCTGATGCCGTTCTCATCCGGCCTATGGATTGAGAGGCATTGCGGTGTCCGGTGTCCGACCCGAAGGGTTGTAGGATAGGGGTTTCCCATCGTAACAAAAAAAATATATATATTCTAATGATTTTTTAATTCGTAATTTATATCTAACATACGAATTTTGAAATTCAAAGAAGAAGAAGACGACGAAAGAAGACACAGATAGGGAGAGAATATACAATAATAAAGAGGAAATAGCCTAACAAACTATCTTTCAACGATCAAATGCATGATTTAAACATTCTCGGTTAAACATGCATGCGCACATGTATGTATATATTTATGTATAATTCGAAAGATTAGGTTTTGTAATAAGATAGTTTGAATAACAATTATATTCTATATTGGGCTATGTTTCGGGGTGATGGGGCAATATTATTGACATATTATTTTCGCTAAGTATTTGATTTTCATGATGTGTATATATTATTTTACAATGGATATTGTCCATGTATTGAAGAAGAGGAAATCGGACGAAGACAAATATGACGTTGAAATTACACTGAAAATTAGGGTGAACGTTACGATATTCGATTCGGTTTCGGGTTCGGGTCGGATGAGCGCCTAACCCCAACAAAACCATTTCTCTCCAGTTTGTATGTTTGCTTCTCTTTTTTCCTCGTTTTAATTTTCTAAATCGGATTTTTATTTTATATGTCTTTATTATTTTTCAATATTCATTCGTGCTCCGGTGGTGACTTTTTTTTTGGTATTGATGATTGACCATGTAGGCTTCGAACTCGGAGCGTAGCCATCGGACCACCGCGTCCAGGCCAGTGGTGACTTTGATTCGTGGAACTATCCAAATACATTTTGATCTTTTTCCCCACCTTGATGTTTTTTAAGCTTTTTACTATCTCAAAATTCGTATTTTTCACTTTTCCTTCCTCCATTTTCCAATATATAACGAGTGTAAATACAAGTGCATATTTATAAAGGGTTTAACGTGCTTATTTATTGTAAGAAAATTCATGGTATTTCAATTGAATGAATCGCAAATGAAAAAAGAATGAATTAGTTCTCTTTTCCGCCTGCAGCCGCCATAGCCCCCCCTCAATCGGATAATTCACTTAAATATACCAAATGTGTCGCATGAATTTCACAGATACACCCAAGATGAACAGTAATTTTTTTTATTTCAATTTTATACCATTTTTCGCTCAAAAAGTCTGAAATAACCTTTTTTCTATATTTTTTACGACTTTATTATAACTGTTATATAACTAATATACGACTAAAAAAGAAGTATTTATGACCATATAACAACTAAAAATCGTATAACTAATAAGATATATTTTTTGCAACTTCATTTAGAATCAATTGCAACTGTATTTAGAATCAATTACAACTTTATTTAGAATCAATTACGACATTGCAATTACAATTACACGATTTCATTAAGAGTATTACGGTCTTTTCAAAAAAAAATTAATGTGTTATGTTTTTTTTTGTGTATCCGTGAAATTCCTGCGACACTTTTGGTATATCTGTGTGATTTACCCCGTCAATCTCTTACCGCAGCTAAGCTCCAGACCGCCGTCCACCAAATGGGAGGCCGGGAAAAGACCAAGCCACCTGACCCTTCTTTCTCATCTTCCACCGTCAGGTCCTTCCAAACCTGTAGCAACCCCGATCCTCACCTCGTGGTGATTACGAATCGAAGTACATAAAGGTACCGAATCGCGTGGTTTTTGAATCTCGCAGATTCAAAAGGTTAGTGTCTCAACTCAGTACCGAGAACTACAACATATATATTCGGTTTCTAGGATTAGAAAATTTTTGTTTTGTCCTTCACCTGTATGAACCCTAGAACTAGATCCCAATGTAATTTGGGAACGGCATGTTCGGAATCCCATGAAATCCAACAACAAACATGAATCTGCAGTCTTTGCCTTGGACGTTTGTTGAGGTTCCACTCAATGTGCCTCAACTTGTTACAACTTCTGTATTCCACATTAGGATTCTTCCAACATCTCCAATGAGGGTGTCCCTTTTTGTTGCAAGGCTCGGGGAAAGCTTTCACTTGCTGTTTTTCTCAAAATCTCGTAGTAGATTTAAGTCCTTCATGCCCCTAACCTGCATAATAGTCTTTAACTAAGATCGTGGGAGAATTCGCTGTGAAAAAACATGATTTGGCTTTGGCCTTCTCTGTGGCCCTTTCTTTGTGATTCCTCATCTAGCCGTTGGATTTGTAGGCAACCGAGGGATCTCGTATTCATTCTCTACAACTTCCCATGATTAAGTCTGCCCCTTCCAGAAATGTATGCATTCTTGCGGCCCAAATTTAGCAGTTTTCTCCGTTGAAAGTAGGGGCTGACTGGATTGGGTTCATGAAACTGGGGTCTCTGTTTGATCCCTGAATTCATGTGACAGCCTTCTTTTCGTAAGTCCCAGAAAGATTCGAGACGGATACTTCCAACCCTTGTAACACACTTACATCTGTAACTCAGTTTTGGTTACTGTTAATTTCAGAAACCAAACTCTACATTACATACACTCTTACAAAACACACTACACGCACTAACAACGCAACAACTTTGTGTCTGAAAGCTGTTTCAGAACACATACAACACACATATGAACCCTTCTCGGTTTCCTCTCAACATTGATAAGTACGACACTTTTTCTTCTCGTGTTTGGTTCTCTATGTGCTTTGAAACCGAAACCGGCCTAAATGATTGCAGGAACATAAATCTGCAATGATCTCTCTCTTCCACACATTGACCCTTTCTTTTACAGGGCAAATAGTGGTTATACTAAACCACCTAAAAACCTGACTTAGAAAACTGTTTTACAACTTACTTGCCGTAATTTCCTTCTGCAACTTCTATTGTGAGACTTTTGAATCCAAAAATACCAACAGGTACAAAGATAATAACACAAAGTGCATCAACGTCTCACATATAAACTTTACAGGAAATAACTGCAGCATAACTGTCTAGAATTCAAACAATCGAAAAACGCTCGAACTGCTTTCTGCAATGCCTTGAGCCAAACACAGGAAGCTGATACAACAAACTTACAAGAACAACGACAAATCTGTGTGCAATTGTTTGATCTTATTTTTGGAAAGAGTTCCAGATTCAAACGTGAACAAAAGAAAAGAGATCATAAAATTAAAATAACAGCATAGACTACTAATATGATTGGATAGCCAGAGAATCGATTGATCAATCGAGTGGAATGGGGTTGATGAGCATGGATTGGATATGATCAATTGTCTTTGCCTTTTCAGGACAGCCAAGGCCGTCGCCGTAGTGATATATGCACTGCGCCATGCGTGCCAAGTCTATCACCGCGTCAAGAAAACGACGGTGGTACAAAGAACTACGTGTCGTTTTCTCGTAGTTCATCTCGTCCCATGCATCACTGATCACTCGCATCATGTGCTCGCGCGCCTCCGTCTCGGTAGCTCCCGTCTCATGCATATAACATTGGATCGATTTCTGAACATCCCCTCTTGCCATCTCCTCCTAAACACATTTTCAATCATTTATATGAATAGCATATGTCAGATTATATTAAAGATACTAAAATGTTGGTCAGGCGTTTTTTAAGTTGGCTGTTTCAAAGAAAGTGTCTGGAGGAACTAACCGATGAAGTTACCAAATCATTGGCAATACGAAGGATGAAGGAGGAGCACCGGATGATGGGTTGACGATGTTCGGACAAACTGTCAAAGGTTTCCTTGGTTAATGTATCGGACAACACAGAGAACGAGTGAAGCAACACTGTCTCCGCACCGATTGAGATCCATGCGTTTTCCATGTACTCTTCGAAACATGGTATGTATCCGCTCATGTGCCACTTTGCTTCCGTTAGATACGTGTCCGTTATGTCTGTCCACTAGCGAAAAGAACCAACAGATGTATACAAAATCATAAACCAAGATTACATGCTCTGTCACCTAACTTTGGTAGCTCAACCGATGGTACGAGGACGCAAAGTGTCTATCCCACTCCGAATTCGGAGCCTCAAATTAACTCGGAACCTCAAATTGGGAAAGAGAGTGTAATTCCAATTATAAGTGCTTATTCCTGATCCCAAAATTAGATTGGACCTCGTTCCAAGACATCAGGTTATAAAAAAAAAAAGATTACATGCTCAGTTTCGGTTGCTAGATGTGAGATCTAATGTTGACGATGGATTTTATAAATTGTGATATAGTAGTGTATTTCTATAAAAATTGACGCTATCCATGAATCAATTAGGTGTTTTAAAAAAAAGAAACAGATACTTACGGCTTTTCTAAGATAAGGGATGACATCGAACTTTTTATCTCCAAGAATGTCTCGTCCAATCTGGTTGATCTCCTTGTACAGTACTAGAAAACATGATCTCATGTATTCTGGGAGCTCCTCGACAAGGCTCATATCCCATCTGCGTCGTATATATTAAAGGCAGTAAATAAGTAAATCATATGTCCCTATACATCTGAAAGGACAGAGGTATATTTACTGACTTCTTGATTGCTTCCGTGAAGCACACAAGCTCATCGTGAGTGCCGTAGACATCATATAGATCGTCGATTATTGTGAGCAACGCAAAGATCTTTGTGACTTCTCGACGATGGTATCCAAATTGAGGCTCGTGGAATAGCTCAGCGCTCCATATGTAGTTCTCAAGTATTCTATCTCTTGCAAAGTCAAGTTGTTTGAGTCCCGTCTTACTCCACCAGCTTCACATCAAGAAAAGATTTGCAAACACATTAGTTTGTGTAAAAGACAGGGAATTCATGATAGGTGAGTTATTCCATAAGTTAGTTTATTGGATGAGTGTTCCATAACCTTGTAAAGACTTAATTGTCCCCACATACGGCCGATGTGGGATCGCTAACACAAACGTGTAACGTCTCTTAGGTAAGCTGATAGCTCAAAGAATTTTGTTTTTAGGGTTTAGAAGCAACTTTACCTGAAAACATATTTGAGATCGTGTTGGTGAAAAGCCTGTACGATGTTGAAATCGTGCTTGGCGAAATCTAGCAAAAGGGTATTCATGTCGTGCTTCTTCTCATACACGTCAATATACCACCTTGCCTCGAGAGTACGCGCTCTCCAGTGATACGGCATCTCCAATGTCCGGATCACCATCTCACGCAAATAAGATTCATTTCTATCATTTTTCTCGCTTTCGTTGACGTACTCGCTTAGTCGTGCCTTTGCATAAGATCGGATTTCCTTCAGTTTGGAGTCTGATTTCATTGATAGATACGAAGCTTCATACAGTGAGAGCAGCCCTTTGATATCTTCTTCTGAACTTCCTTCAAGTTCCACATCCCCCCATAGGCTCTTGATGACATCAAAGCAATCTACATTGGTCACAACTTATTAGTGAGATAAATCCAAATAGATTACATGTGGAGAGATGCATCAAAAAGGTTACCAAAACTAAAATAAAAAAATTAGCAGCAAGAGATGTGCTATTTACAAGTTATATATATAAATATTATTGAAATAAGGGAGTAAAATTTATATTTTAATATATGATTAAAAAATAATAATGGATACAATATTATGTCAAATATTATATATCTTATTTGTTTTCATTATATCTATATTTTTTATTTCTATTTCTTAATGTTTATCATAAACATATGAATTATTTTAATTGTAATGTAGTAAAAAAAATAAAAGTATTTTCGTTAATTTTCTTTTTTGTAATTTCTTTCTAATTAAATTTTTGCATTTTATTTTTTAATAAATATATTGCATATGCTCTTTTAATATAGATAGGAGGGAGTATTTTACTACGGAGTAAAAATCTTACCTTGCGAGACAGTAAAACCATGTTGCCTAAGCAGGCGAAATTCAAGAGCAATTGTATGTAAATCCTCAGAATGCCGACTCTTCTCTGACCGGTTTCTTCTCGTTTCATAAATCTCTGTTAAAATGCCACTGATTTCGCTGTCAAAATGATAGGAAACTCCCAACCTTTGCAAACTATCAATGAGCTCTAGCTGGTTGAGAGGACCTTCTGCTTCGTCTAGCAACTTCCTCACGTTTTCCTTCAACAACTTGGCCCTTTCTTGAATTTCGCCTTCTTCCTGAATCCCGTTTTTTGTATGTAAAGTTCGACTCTTCCATAATTATTGAATTCATTAACAAAAAAGACATGGGCGAATGAAATCACAAAATATATTCTGCCAAATGGAATTTTGTTACATGCGTTCTAAATGTGGTATTTACATTACATGCACACCTGCTATCCATTGTCTAGTGGTTTTGATTATTGTTTTGGGCTCAAACACAATCTATTCTTGTTTATTGTCTACTTCATTTTGGATTATTATGGAGCAGATACGTGCCATTCGAATCGATTTTCCGATCCACCTTTCAATTAGTTTCAGCGTCTGCCTTCTCTCGCTGTCGAATTTTCTGGGCACGCGCTCATATTGTGAGTCACTAAACTCAAATAAATTGGGGCAGTTTTCAAGCCGCATTTGAGGATCAAATATGGATTTTGACATCCCGGATGTCCAGATTTCCGATGGTTCAAGTTTCAGGCCTTTTGGAGTTCTCTATCAAAAGTTATATGGAAGATTAAAGGCTACATTTATTGTATTTAAGTTATTGTCTTTTTTTTTTCCTTTATGATTATGTTTAACTTACCATAGATAGAAGTGTAGCTCATCCTATAAATATGTGTGCTGAATCTTTTATTGAGATAAGAGTGAAGTGTTCTATTCATTTTCGCTCTTTCTCTTCTCCTTCATAAAGAAAAAAATCTCAATTTTTAACACACACACACACTCGGTCACGTAAACAGAAAGGGAGATGTACGTACGGCATATTTATTCCGCAAGGAGAGGACATGGTGATGATCCCAATGAGAAGGCCGGTAGTTGGCAGACCGACGGACAACAACAGGCTCCTTCGACCCCGTTTCGGAAACGGCCGAGCAAGTGATCAGCCCCGTGGTACAACGCCGTTTCTGCATGTTTTCCCGAGGGGCATTTGCGTAAATAAGAGGTGAGCCAAGCACGAGAGAAGCCATTCTTATATATACAACTATAGATGGTATATTTGAAGTGTATTTATAGGAAGATTCAGTTTTTTGTTTTGATTTTTTTGGGTGAAAGGAAGATTCACGTTTTTTAAATGATACAAAGACCTTTTTGGAATGATGGAGAACATGTGGTTATAATGTTATAAAAGTTAATAAATTGTATACAATTGGTTGAGCCAACACTCGATGTGTAGGGGTCTTGGTGATGGGATATGTCGTTGTTATGGGTGCCGCATGATGTTTTGGACCGGACCCAAGTAGCTTTGATTACGACGGACAACGTGAAATGAATAACACATGGTTGTGGTTAAAGTGGTTATATTGTGGTTGATTGATCGCACTCATGTTATTGAATGAGTAGTCCATCTCTATGCTGCATAGGATCACGTGAGTGGTAGGGATAATTCGATCACGTGAAAAACATGTATACTTTTGGATATGATTTCTAAGGAAATTCGGTGAGATGTTCAAAAAAAATATATGAAATATTTGTTTTTTTGCAATCTATATTTTTTCACAAATGATCTAAAATATCTCTAATTTACTATTTAGAAAAAAATCTAAATAAATATATAAATTTTTTCAAATCTTATTGATAAATATACAAATTTTTATATTGCAAAAAATTATATCAAATTTGTAATTTTTTTCAAATTTATACACACTCTACTGCCGTCAATTGATTGAAATTTTCTCATTAACAGCGTTGTCTTGATTCGTTGGTTTTTTGTATCACTATCGCATGATATTTTTTGCCCAATCAAATAATAATAATAATAAATTAAAGAGAAAAATTCCTAAAAATTCCTGAACTTGCAAATTGCGAGAAAAAAAATTCATAAACTTGCGAGTGTGCCTAATTATTCCCAAATTTGAAAAAAACGACTGAATAATTCATAATCTTGTTAAAAAGTATCATAATAGTCCTTAAAATAAAATGATTAGAATAATACTATTTTAAATCATACGTGGCAGGTGATCTGTCAAGCCATGTCAGATTTTTGAGCCACGTATTTAGAACAGGATTTAGAAAAATCGGTTCAATAAAAGCGGTATGAAACAGTAAATTCCGGGTTCAGTGTAACTTTGACGGAACTCTCCTTCTCCTTCATCATCTCATCCCCACCCATGACGGAACCTCCGGTTCCTCCTTGATAAGATCTTTATCTTTAAAAACTATCTATACATGCAAGGACAATTCCAAAACCCACAGTATTTACATATATAGATCTCTTATCTCGCATTCACCATCTCATTATATTCTCCATCAATCAAATCTTAGTAGAATTTAGTTTGGTTGTACCACTATTCACTGTGTTCTGGTACTACAACATACTTGTGTCTTTACTGTAGTGTTATATTCTAGGTATTTATTATTTGATATCTACATCTATAACCTATATCTAGCAACCACAATAGATCCCTTTTCATCAAACTCATTACCAGATAACGATCTATAAAATCTGGTCGGAACGGAACAATTGCATTTTTTGCAATTGTTGTAGGACTTTGAACTGCATTCGGTGCAAGATCGAAAAAACTATTTGCAACATTATATTGTCCAAATAGGATGATCTTGAATCGCTGGAAACCAAATTCTTCAAGATTGGTTTTATCTAAAACTAAAATAAATAGAAAAACGAATGGGGTGAGCCAAGCATAGTGAATCTTTGATAGGTGACACACTAGAGAAGACAGTGGTACATATATAATTAGGGTGCCAAAACGAACATATCTCGAAACTGGCTCATTACATGCTTGTTTTTTTAGTGATCTGAGCAAGTATTTTTAAGACATTTGAAAATGAGTCATCTCGCGGCTTATCGAGCTAACTTGCAAGGCTCATGAACTGAGAGTGCTTTTTATATTATATATTTGTCATATTTTATTTGTATTTTTTAAAATGTTTTATATAACATTAATACTTAATTTAATTTTTTATTGTTTATATATATAATATCTTTTATATACTTAAATTTGATATTTCAATAATTAAAATTTTTATATTAAAATATAATTTTATTTCATATTTTTATAATATAAATAATATATATATTTTTCTATTACTCACGAGTCGATTTGTTTAGTTCGAAAAATTGATGAGTCGAGTTGATTAAAAAAATTTCTACCTCGTTTAAAAACGAGTAGCAAAATGAATTTAAAACGAACTTGCTCATCACGAACTGAGTTGAGCTGATTCGACTCGTTTAACACCCTAATATGCAATATAGATAATATATTTACAGGATATTTGTAAGAAGATTCGAGGTTGTGAAATGATACGAAGATTTGGAATGATAAAGAACATGTGGTTAAGGTTATAAGCTAATAAATTGTAGACAAATGGTTGGGCCATTTTCGATTATGGCTCCTGGTGATGTGATATATTATTATGATGGTACGACTTTTGGTGGCGTGATATGTTAATATTATGATTATTTTTTTTATAATGTAGAAGTTCACCGTACCTTTGACCCGACTATATCTCACAGAGGATCGGAGAAACCCATGTGAATGTTCTTTCCCAAGTAAGGATTCGAACCCGGATCGGGAACGAACTTTGCTCATTTCCTTACAGGTTGAGACACTAAACTTAGGTGTCAATATTATGGTTTGTGTATGATGTTTTAGCCTTACAGGTTGAGACACTAAACTTAGGTGTCAATATTATGGTTTGTGTATGATGTTTTAGATATGACCAAGTTGCTTTGGTTACGACAAGGTGAAATGAAATGTTGTTTCAAGAACAAGACAATTGGTTGGTTTGTGGTTAATTAAACTGATTTTCACGTGCGGAATATGAGTGGCATGGATAATTTAATTACGTGAAAACATGAGTGCTTTGGATGATACTTTAAAAGAAATTAGTTGAGACGTTTAAACAAAATGCGAAATTTTTGAAAAATACTTAATTTGTCAAAATTTTCCCAATAAAAACTTTAATTTTGTATTTGTCATATTAATACTCAATTGGTCAATTTTTCCGATTAAATACTCAATAGCAAACGATATTTAACAATCGTTTAAATTGGCTGACGTGACTGTCACACGTCGACGTAAGTAAAAATTTAATAATTGAAACCGATTAAATCTAAACTGAAAATTTCACTTTGTTATGGGGTAATTTTTCGAATTCATCAGTAAATATAATTTTTAACTGCTAAATGATAGTCTGGGTATTTTTTGAAAAAACGCATAATTTGCAAATGTCAACTTTTTTTTTGTATTTTTTACAAATATATATATTTTTTACATATTTTATCAAGAATCCCTAAAATTATTTCGACGAAACGAGACTGGTTGAACAACTATGTCACTTTTAAAAAAATTAGTTGCTACATCGCTTGTTGGAATTTTTTATCGCCAAGCGTTTTTAAACATGAATCATTAAAATATAGAGAAAAATACCTGAAAATTTCTAAACTTTTAATCTGGTATAATATTAATTCATAAACTTGTAAATATATTTATTTATTGGCGAACTTGCATTTTTGAATACAATAATTCATAAACTTGTATTTTTTAATACAATAATTCCTAAACTTACATTTTTGAATACAATAAGTCATAAACTTTGATTTGGTCAATTAATGATATGGACGATTATGGAACTGTTAATCAAGTTTAGGAATTACTGTGTTAAAAAATGTAAGTTCGAGAATAAATAGACGCACCTACAAGTTCGTGAATTAATATTATACCAAATTACAAGTTAAGGAATTTTCAGATATTTTTCCCTAAAATATATAAATCTGTTATGATAGCAATATAACCTAATAATAAGATAACATTCAAAACATGTTTTTAGTCTGAGTTCAAATCTAAACGTGGAGAGAAATATTTATTCCGCCTTCTCTGATTTTCTGGGAGATGTAATTGAGTCAAATGTTTGGTAAATTTTCGAATTATAAAAAAAATGATAGGGCAATATAAGACAGCAATAGAATGAAACAACCAATTTATAGTGAAAACCCTTTTAAGTGTGAGAAGTAAAAACTTGTACGAGTGAGATTACAACCTCCAATAAACGAGTGAGATTACACAACTAAGGATTCACAATAATCATACCATTATTAAGTCCGATTGGGGAAGAGTCCACCCTATGATTTGAAAATCAATTGGACTTTATTGGCGTTTGACTAAATGTTTCATGAAGATGGTTTTTTGTTATAATATGGTTGTAAGATCGCGAAGCGGTTTTATGGAAGTTTCGAAGATTTTTTTTTTTTTTTTTTTTTTTTTGGACTAAGGATTCACAATAATCATACCATTATTAAGTCCGATTGGGGAAGAGTCCACCCTATGATTTGAAAATCAATTGGACTTTATTGGCGTTTGACTAAATGTTTCATGAAGATGGTTTTTTGTTATAATATGGTTGTAAGATCGCGAAGCGGTTTTATGGAAGTTTCGAAGATTTTTTTTTTTTTTTTTTTTTTTTTGGGTAATTATTTTTAAGTTATAT